CTTTAAAAATTGAACCGGGGGGGGGGGACCAGCAGGTGGCGTGATGACTGAGGCTCTGGACACTCCCACGTGGCTGACCACGGTTCAAGTCCTAGACCTGGTGGCTTGCTTTCTCGCTTTCTGTGTGTGTGTGTCTCTCTCTCTCTGATCAAATTTTTAAAAAATGAATGAATAGATAAATAATTATTTAAACTAGAAAAAATAAATATAACTGGGGGAACCAGCAGTTGGCGTAATGGCTATGTCGCTGGACTCCCATGTAGTCAACCGCAGTTCAAGTCCTGGACCCAGTGGCTTAAACTCACGCCTGATGTGTGTGTGTGTGTGTGTGTGTGTGTGTGCGTGCGTGCGTGCGTACCCAAGATCCTGAGAGGAGAATGGAGATGGAGAAGAAGGCATTGTGGGGTGGCCATCCCCCCTGGGGGGGTGATTTCTTGCTTTCTGTCTCTCTGTCTCTGTCTTTCTGGTGAGTGCACATGCCCTATAGAAAAAAAAAAAACCTCTCCAAAAAAAAAAAGAAAGAAATATACCTCTGGCCAGTTTGTGAAGTTTGAAGAAGAGTAAAACTCGTAATAGACTAGGAAGTCCTGTAGTCATACACATCAGACGTGGGAATGACTTGAACCGAGAAATGGTTTTGAAGATGGAGAGAAGTGAAAAGACAACAAGATAGAGCCCTAAGGACTTGATTGGACATGAGGAGTTCAGGTTGAAGAGGGAATCAGAAATGACACCTAGGTTTCTGGCTTGGGAACTGGATGCTTGATGGTCTGTTCCCTGAGGTGGGGAATAAAGGCAAGGACGTTTCAGGAGGAAAATGATGAATTTGTTGTTCTATTGAAGAACATTAAAAGTGTAGATATTCAAAGGCCAACAGATGTATGAAACTCAGGAGAGAGGTCTATGCCAGGGATGATGTTTTTCGAAGATATCCCCTTGTAGATGGAAATGAAGTTGTGAGAGTTGATTTAGATGTCTGAGAAAAAAAACTAAAATGATAAATAAATTGGAGATCTAAGCAAGAAAGGAGATAGATGGCAGAGGGACGTCCTTGCCCAGGGTGGGAAGGGAGTAGGATCCAGAGCACAGGGGAAGGGTTAGCAAGAGATGCCTCTTTCTTAGGCTTGACGGAGAGGGGGAGCAGATAGCCTGGAGTATATCTGCGGTACAGGTAAATTTGTAGTGTTTGTAGAACATGAGGGTGTGCCATTTTGTTGTTTTGTGTTTTTTCTTTGAAGTTGGAGACATGGTTGTCTGCTAAAAACAAGGTAAAGGTGATAGGATAGGACTTTCCCTTTGGAGTTTAGTGATTTTTTTTTTTTTTAACCTCCCTGAGAGTTCATGAGCTCACCAGAGAGACATCAAATGAGAGAGAAAACAAGGAAAGTGATGAAGTACCTCCCCCTCGTTGGAGATGATGAGGTACAATCCCTCCTCCATCTCTCCCTCCTTAAAGGAGATTTTTTGGGATTTATGCACATGGACCAGGAGTGTTTTTCAAACTGTTGGGTCTGGGACTTGATCCAGAAGATTGACTCTGTGGGATCCAGCCACCCTAAGCACTGTGCCATGGGCTGCCTCTGGGGTTTAATTTAAAATGTCCATTTATATTTGTATTTCCTTTGTAGTCTTTAGCCATTTTGTGGATGACTTGGGAAGCAGAATTGTGTGTCAGTGAAACTCAATTTCCAGTGCTCTGTGGTGTGCATGGCGCTACCCGTTTGTATTATAGTAATAAGTCAAGGTGCTTTAGATTGCTGCTGTGTGGAGTCCCTCACTGCTGCCCTCTTCTAGGAATTACGGCCCCAAACTTGCAGGCTGTTAGAATAAGACAGATAAATTGTCCTGTTGAGTTAGCTCTTCTGACCAACTGTTGGGATGTCAGAAAAGTCATAATACCTTTTTGCATAGAAAAAATATGCCTTTTTTCCGACAACCCAATTTTTAAAAATGGAAGCACCAACAGACCATTTGAGAAAGCGGTTTTTGACTTTCATTGATGCTGGTCTCTAGATGGGGACTATTCCTCATAAAGATTATGTATAACTGAACTTTTATATTTCACTCTTCCACTAGGCAATTTTTTTTAGAAGCGATGTGTGTGTATAAGTTTGTTTTTACTGTTGTGGACATTTCAAGGATGGCATTTTCAGCACGTGAGCTGTCATTGGACCCATTAACTCCATTAATTATTTTATCTTTAACTATACAAATAGTATGTGAATATGTTCCTAGTAAAATGATTATAGAACGTACAGAGTAAAATGCGGTATCATGTCTCGGCCTTTTGGCTAGGGTCAAATATAGAGTAAAATTTGGTAATTTGTTTTCTAAACTACTTGTAAAGCTGTTTACATTTTTAGCCTATATACCATCTTTGAGCAACTATTTAACTTAATTTCTTTTAGATTTACATCTATGAGTTTAGGGTTTTACTTCTAAACTATAAGAACTTGAGGAACAAGTCTGCAGTTTCATAGCTTTTCATTTATATGGCCAGGAAACCACACAGTCTTTTTTACTTTCTCAGGCCCCATTCAGCTTCCCCTATTCATTTCTTTTTTCTTTTCTTTCTTTTTTTTTTTTAGTTTTTTTTTCTTTCATTTATTTCTTTTTACATTTTTCTACAAGCGTTTACTTTACATAGCAAA